GGCTGGAGGATGAGGCCGAGTTCAACTTCGGCAGAGCCGGGGAGGTCGAGGCAGCGACCGGGGCAGGAGGAGCTGCCAGCAGCGATCGTCTCGGTAAAACCGGCGACGGGGACAAGGCTGGAGCCGAGAAGAGGGCGACGGTGCGGCTCAACCTGTCTCTCTCCGAGCCCGACGACCGCTCCTCCGTCGAGTTTAATTACGGAGAACTCATCCACAACCTCCAGGTAGGATCCCTCACTTTATCCCACAGCACCAGGCCGACCGAGACTGGAGCTGGAGTTCATTTTATGGCTCTTGGAAGTGTTGTGTGTGTTCGGACTTGTCATTGCTAAGTAATGGAGAGGGGTTGGATGTGGGGGGGGAGTGCACCTTGTCCTTCTAGCGTGGTTGAAACTGACCATTAGTAACACAAAAGACAGCAGCCTTCAGTCCCACTCTCTACAACTTCAGCTGCTCTCTCACAGATCGGAGCTGTTTTTTAAAAAAAAAAAAGAAAAAGTCCTCTTTTATTTATTTTATTATTTATTTATTTCTGTGCACATGTAGAGATGAAGCCTATCTTGTGCTGCTGCTGCTACCTGTGTCCTGTTCACTCAGACTTGCCCAGCAACAGCCCAGTCACACAGCCATTACAGCACTTGGAAATGCCACATGCAGTTTGGCCCTCTGGCTGCGGGTGATAGATAGATGAGAGAGCATTGCTGATGGAAGTACCAGGATGTAGCATGGGAGCAAGGCAAATGTCAGAGGCATCACAGAGGAGAGACACTGTTTTTTTTTTTAGGGGGGATAATTTATAGTTTTTAGCTGTAATGTTGTTTTTACTTGAGTGGGGAAATTTAAAGAAAAAAAAAAAGTTTTAAAACCAAATATTTATTATTTTAATCCAAATGTGTTCATGCCAGCACTGTGTTTGCCATATGTTTGTGGGGTTATTTTAAGTTTGATGGTAATATTGTGATAATCTATTGATGTTTTACTGGTTTTACTTTACTGAAACTGTCCTTGTTTATAATCTTCAATATTAACTTTTTAATTTTTTTTTCCCCCCAGGCAAAGAATAAACCACCAAGTCAGACTTCAGCCCACAATCCCAACGACCCCTTCAACGATGACGAGAGAGAGCGGGTCCAGGTTGAGGCCATGGCTAAAAAGTTTGAAAATAAATATGTGAGTTATAATTTATTTTTAATCTCTGAATTTTAAGTTATTTTAATCTGCTCATGTTAAACTTACTGACTGATACTGGATATGTGAGGCCAATACCAATATTGATATTTGACTGTCTCAGAAGTCTAATAATGACACATTATTAAGCACATTAACAAACATGAGCGGGGCATTTATAGAAATCAACTTGTAAGTCCTCTATAGAAACAAACAGAGTTAAGGTAAAACTGTCTCTAAATGACCTCCATACACTGTATATGTCTTTATAGTTTATATGTCTTTATAGTGTAAATGTATTTATAGTTTGTCTTTTATAGTTTATATGTCTTCATAGTGTAAATGTATTTGCTATTTTAGTTCTACAATTTCTTGTTACTTACTCACCAACATATACATCAGCACAACTCTCTGTAAGATCATCAGCTGATGTTTAAAATTACTGTTTGTTTGTGTTGGTTAAGTTGTTATAATCAAGTAAATTTGATATATATAGGCCAAAATCACAAATTTGGACACACAAAGAGTTTTACAGCCTTTTATCCTTAGAGCCTCAATTTGGATAAAAGCAACAACTCTGCACCCAAACCAGGGAAGAACAGTGATGGTTATACTTATATTTAGTGATATCTTGAGTCACTTATTGATTCTTTCTGTAGCACAATTGAGATGGGTTTTTTGTGAGAAACCTTCAGTTCTGCTCCTTCCCTCTCCCGACCGGTGCGATTATCAGACTGACCACAGCAGTGTAGCAGACACAGCGAGGGAGTCACAGCTAACCAGCCGTGAGCTGCTGGACATTTTAGAGTCGCTTGAAGCCCTTTCATGGCTGTGTGTAAAAGTTTCTGTGTGGTACCTGTGTTGTTGAGCTAGCGGCTGTGTTGTAGCTGAGCTAACGGCTCAGAGAGGCTGAATGTCTGTGTGTGTCTGTGCGGGGACTGTTGGTGTGTGGGATCAAGGTAAAGACTGCAGTCCGGTGGTGTTTCTACAGGCGTCTAAACTCAAAGCAAAAAAACGCAAAATCTACCATAAATTCCTGTGAATGTCTCGATCAGTATAGAATTGAAAAGGAGTGCAGCAGTTTCACAGACTCCCACTCACAGTGGAGGCTGGGGCAGGTGGGCTGCCCTCCTCTGATTGGACTTACTCTCAGCATTGATCCTGCAAGGTTCAGGGTGATTTAAAAACCGGTTCGTGTTGAGACATTTTCAACCAACAAAATGCTGATTTTCATAACTAAAAATGACAATTTTAACACCCGCATTGATGTGTTTAATCACAGTTTAGTCATATAATTCAGTTTACAGCTAAAAAAAACACATTTTAGGGTGCAGTACCTCTTTAATATATCCAATATTAGTATAGTGTCTGCAATTAATTTTTTTTTACATTAATGCAAACGTTAGCATTTTTCAATAAATATAGTTTTTGAAGAACTGTGACCCTGATATGCACTGAATGGGGATTTTTTTTTTGTCAGTGCTCTCTGGTGGACAGATTATGAAAGAAATAAATAAAGAAGAAGTTTAAAAAAACAAAACAAAAACATCTGTAAGAAGGCAGTTTATCCGCCAACATATCTGCTTGGTTGATTTATCCGTCAGGTTCTAGTTGTCTAGGTTTGTGTTCTTAAGGACCAAATCCCCCTAAAACAACAGCCACATAGAGAAAAGACATTTTGTCTATCCTCCATCCATTTTAAGATTACGTTTGGAAAACATATAAGGAAATGGAATTAAAAGGAATTAAAATCAATATTATTTGGGATATATTTACATTTGGGATTTATTTTATTTTTCAGGGTAACACAGGGAAGAAGAAGAAGAAGGACAGAATGCAAGATTTGATCGATATAGGTTTCGGCTACGATGAGACAGACCCCTTTATTGACAACTCAGAAGCTGTGAGTACCTTTCACTTCATTAATAACAAGGAGATTTTTCACTTCCAGGATTTCACTTTCATTTAATCAGATTAGTCTCCCTTTAGTCTTTTATGAAAACATTACACATAGTTTCTTCCTTATTATCTGCTGATTAATTTGCTGTCCTCGTCACATTCCTGAACTTGGTTGTTGTGTTGAGGTAGATATTATTCCTCCGTGGTTTATTTCCTGGTTTGAAGTTTCAATACAGCACATTCAGTGGCACTTCTAAAGATAGACGCCTGTCCCTTCTTACAACCAACCCGAGACTACGGTCTAAAATCATCCTTGTGACTCATGAATATGTACGTTGCGTCCACACAGGGATATGTTGATGTTTTTGTTGTGACAGTCGGTGTTTGTTGCTCAGTATTCGTGGGATATCGCACTCTGTCTGACTGTAACAGCTAGAATTAAGCTCTTTGTGTGGATTCTCTGCCGTTATATTGTTATAATTGTTTTGTTGTTTTGATAGCTGTCCTCTCTGAACTCACAAATTGGCAGCGCCTGTTTGACCCCTTTTTTTTCTGTTTTGATATTCTCTGTGATGGAAAAATGTTTCATCTGTAGCCCCGAGGGACGGTGATTCTTTTTAGTGATTTATTAATTTTGGCGCCCAACATCCATTTTCACTGACCAACAGAGGAGCACAGGCTGCTTTGTGAAATGTTAACAAATAACATTTTCAGTTACTCAATATGTTTGAAAATCCACAGATGACATCCGCTTTTGTTATGCAAGAGGATTTATTGTTTTCCAGATTCCCGTCATCTTATACCACAAACTGTCTTCTATTGTTATTTTTCTCAGTATGATGAGCTGGTCCCTGCGTCTTTGACCACAAAGCTGGGGGGATTTTACATCAACACTGGCACGCTGCAGTTCAGAGCGGCCTCCGACTCCGAGGGAGAGGGGGACAAGGTGAGGCCACTTTAACACGTACATAATTCAACTTTAAGAAATTATTGTTATACAGTGTTTCTCTTTTGTCTTTGTTGTTGCTATGAAATTACATAAATGACACACAGTCTGAAATTATACTTCTTGATATAAAACTAAAGAATATGCAGGAATCCATGTGACTAGGCAACGTCATAAATACTTATATCATCACCATTAAAATTACATACACTAATAAATTATTTTAAAATACAATGGTAACTTATTTCAATTATTTTGCACCACACAATAAATAACACATTTTTCAATATTTTCTTACACCATTACTTGTCAGAAGGTCATATCTCAACAGCTATTGGATGGATTGTAGAGATATTTATGTTCCTCAGAGTATAACCCTGAAATAACTGGTGATCCCCTGACTTTTCCTGCCTTAACACAAATATTAACATATTAAACTAAGATGATGAAAATAATGAACATTTTATCTGCTTTACATCAGAATGTTAGCTTTGTCATTGAGAGCATGTTAGCATGCTTTAGTACAGCCTCACACAGCATGCCTCTAACGGGCCGTCCACACCAAGAACGATAAATATAACAATAACAGACATACTGGCAAACGCTCTTTGGCACTGAATGGTTTCATTTAGAGTAATATGTAATAATTAATTACAAGGTTACTAAAATGTTGCTTGCCCCACACTTATTGCAACATATGACACAACAGGATCGGAACAGTCCTGACACGGTGTGGAGCATGATTTAAATGTCATTTTCATTGATTTTAGTCAGATGTGATAGAGACGTTATCTTTAACCACATCAAGAGAAATCTCTGAAGGACACACTGGTTAACGCTCACGCTCTTTCACACACACTCAGAGCACTGCGTGTGTTCCTCAGACAAAATTGATCGCTTGCCACTGTGCACTGTCGTCATCTGCTTACTTGAGTTAAAGAGTGTATGTTCTCTTGTTTCAGAAGCCGAATAACGACAAGGAGCAGGTGATTAAGAAGAGGAAAAAGAAGGAAGCGAACAATCTGGAGGAGAAGAACCCGAAGAAGAACAGAGTAACTAAACAAGGGTGAGAACCAGTGTAATTGAACTGCCTGTGCTTATTTATTTTATGTCAGTCGGTGAAGTTACACTTCTTCATGTAAGAGATTGCTGAGTTCATATTAATGAAGAAGCTGATGGAATGGTTGATGAGTAGCTGAGCAAGCTGAAACTGCCTTGTCTCTGGTCAGGAGGTCATTCCACTCATGTTGGAAATAGATGTTAAAAAAAATAATCTCCCACTTAATCAAATGATTCATTACCATTAAGCGAACCTATTGAAATGTCACTTTAAAATGTCAAAAACACACACATACTGTTGTGTAAATGGACATGTTTTTCTGCTGTGGTTGAAAAGTTGATCTTTCGGACACCCATGGATATGTGATGACGCATTTGTCTACTCACACAGTAGAGATACTGTGCTAATAATCCACCACCTCCCTATGTGACATTATATACTCCTGTGCTTTTGTGCGGATCCTCTCATACATCTATCATGAGGCAGGGATGCTGACTGTGACTTGCTCTTAGTCGCTGCGACAAGCCAGCCACCTCCTAGAAAACCCTCCATTATCTACGCTCAGATAGGCCGAATTCTCATGCCGCCATTCTGAAGACAACTTCCAAAAATAGCAGCAGCTATTGCCATTGTGCCATTATGAAACAGATGATGTTATATATGGGCATGTGTGTGTCAGATCCTTCAGAGCCGACTGCAGGTTAATCCCACTGAATCCCCACGGTTCCACGCTCTTCCCACGTTTGAGTCGCCTTTGTCGATCAGTTTGCCAGTGAACATGTCTCATTGGTTGCATGGGTTTGATTTATTTTTCATGTTGCTTTGCTTTCTACCTCCACCTACTCGTTTTTTTTGTCCCTCTTAAGTGTTACTGAAATTGTCTTTGTTCCTTTTATCATAGCCCGTTTATAGTTATTTCTGCTAGTGTGAGAAGAAGAAACAATCAACCAATCAGAGCTTAGTTGGCAGGATTAAGAATTGGGATATCTTTCTCCTACATAGGAGCTCTGTTCCCTAACAGGAATAACAACTCTTCAATTAAGATTATTTATTTTATTTAATCTTGTATTTTATGCTGGTTTCAGACACCTGAATATGCTACCTAGAGATACATCTTTATCCTTTGTCAGAATCCTATAAAAAGGGAGATTCTCATGTTTTATGTATCCTGAATAAGATCAAAACGAGGATCCTGTGTATGTAAGTGTACTCTGTGTCAGGCTGAGTGAGTGTAACAAAATGCCAATGCATTAAGTGTTTTGCTAAGAACCACGCATTGTGTGTTTCCCTCAAACAGAGTGACGGCAATCAGCCTCCACCGGCCGGAGAAGAAGAAGAGGAAGAAGCTGATGAAGGACTCACTGTACCTGGCGGCCATGCTCCGCCGCTTCACCCGGGAGAAGGAGGAGATGAGGAAAAGGAACCCAAACATGGCTCACTGTGGCCTGGCAGGAGGTGTGGCTAACAAGCCCCACTCCACCAACTCAACGAACCACCTGTTAGCCTCTAACTCCACCCATCCGCAGGGCAACACAGCCAGCAACGACCTCTCACTGGCAGACCTCACCTCGGACCCCGCAGTGATGTCACTGCTGGGCTCGGCCAATGAGAAGGAGCTGCAGGATCTCTTAAGCGACCTGGACTTCAGCTTGTTGGACACTGACCAGCAGCATGCAATGGTGGCGGCCAGGGAGAACGGCATTCTGGGAGTCGGTGTTCCGACTATTAAAGCAGGAGGAGGAGGCGGTGGCCAAGGGCGAGGCCTTGGGTCTTCCAGCGGACTGTTTTCTCCTCCCCCGCTGCCTGACGGCCTGCCTGCTCCTCTTACTAAACGCATCGAGGACCTGTGGGCGGTGAGTCATCTGTAGCCTGTCTGTGGGTGGCCGCAAATACCTGCGAAACCTCTTCACCGAAGTTAAACACATACGCCAATCAGCTCAGGAAGTGGCACAGGATGTTTAATTATTAATCCAACAAGAGTAGTAGTTCTAAAGTATTGGAGAAATATGGCTCTAAGCTGAACCCGGAGGGACTTTATGTAACTAAAGCAGCAGAGTTGGCATCACTGCCTTTGAAAAAGTTCTTTTTTTCTTGTTGCTCTTGTATCTCAGAGCCACAGAGTCAGTCCGTAGCACAGAAATATTTTTCTAGATGTTGGTAACAATGTAAAGCGAGGCAGAGATGCAATTGAAAAGGATGATGCAAGTGAAAGATACAGAGGTGAAGAAGAGAAGAGTGAGGAGGAGTGAGGCAGAGAAATAAATAAAAGAACTGTTTCTTCCAAACATAACACAGAAGTAATATAAGTAAATAACTGTTTTCTTTTGTTGTGTCACTCAGACCGTTTGACTTGTAGTTTGTTCCAAGGGAAAAACTGTTAGTTGTTACCTTTTTAGTTCCAGTTAGTTTTTTATATAAATATAGAACAACAGTCAACTCACTAAGAAATCAAGAAATCAAATTCCAGTAACACTTTTCTGCCTCATATGTGTTTATTTTTCTTAGCTGGTCGTCACACAAGCTCACACAGTGTAAATAGTTGATGATGTGTATAATGATAATGATAATGTTATTTGTCGAGAGTGTAACTGGAGCTTGTACGTCATTGATAATAATGGACACGAAGATGGAAACAAGACTTTTTGTACCCTAAAATAACGGGAGGATAGTTACTGTGTGGTTGCTACTGGAACGGGCAAATATGGAGCGGGACATAGGCACAGATGTTTATTTTAACACCGTCTGATTGATCATTACAGAACAATCACTTTCTGATGCACATTTGTGTTACAGCCATGCTCACTGCGTGGCGCTGCCAAATACCACTTATACAGCTCAGATGATCCTTGGATTTAACTTTTGAATTAGTGCTAAAATCAAAACATCCTTTGGGAAACAAACAGGAAAACAGACCAGATCAAAGAGATTAAGTGTGAAAGAATCCATAGACATTTATGGTTAAAATTAGAGTCAATGTCAGGCCAGTAAAGGAGAAGTAAGGACGTGTGTTCCCGTCGGTACCAAGTCCTCGGCGGCACAGCTTCACAGATATTCTGTATGTATGTGTATTTGTACTGTATGGAGCAGTTCTGGTATGCTGACTCAACCTGTTTCTCCCGCAGGCCTCGCGGCAGTTTGATCAAGAGGGCAGGAAGAAATTTTTCACCTTGGACATGAATAACATTCTGTTGGAGTGAGTAGGACAGCTTTTACATCAGTCAGCCAAATCCCAGCTCACTCTCCTCCTCCTTTTCAGTCTTTCTCACTCATTTTTAGCAGATTTCCCTCGCTACCTCTCCTGTTCTCTTTAGGTGTTTTGTTTTCTCTCCTATTGTCTGTGTTAATTAGAGCTTCTCATTTCCATTCCTTAACTTTATGCTCACCCTCCTCTCATTCTGCGCAACTACTGCTACTAAAGTGCCCTTTATTCTATCCATTACTTCAATCTCACATGTCTCTTTTATTCTTTCTCTTTGTATCCCACCATCTTTTTCTCCCTTTCTGCTTCCACCACCATGACTGTTATTTTTTTGATTCTTTTTGTATCTCACACTCGTGACTTTTTCTCCTTCCTCTTCATCCTCTCAGTATTGAGCTGCAGGTTCAGGAGCAGCCCCCTGAGGTGCGTTCGGAAATCTACTCGCACATGGAGGCATTCGTGCCATGCAACAAAGAAGCCCTCCTCAAACGCCTGAAGAAGCTCAGTCTCAACATCCAGGTGAGTGGGGCTTATCAGTGGAGAAATCCCCTCAAATTAAACGACCTCCTACCCCGCAGCCTTTTTGATTGCTCTGTGCTCATAGTTCAAGAAAGACAAAAACCTCTGCACATCTAATCTAATCAGATAAATCACATACAATATGTATGTCCTGTCTGTTCTTAGATTAAAAAAACCCATCGACCATCTGAAATTGCAATCACAACAGTAACTGAGCTTGAGGCTTCAGGACTATTCAAAGAATCATATATTAAACAATTGTGTAGATAAATTAGTACTTTTGCATTTTTACTAGTATAGCTACACTTCTTTCTAAGGATACAAAGTTTGAACTATGAGTTGATACATTTTAGCTGCAAGTATGTACAACTCTTACAACCGTCTTTACATTTGTAGTTCTCTTCACAACAACAGACTCACTCTTTATGACATGTCTTTATTGCTTGGGCATGTCTTGTGTCTCTGATGCATCCCCGCGTTAGTCACGTTATGAGATCTGTTTGTGAATGAACACAGAACAAATTACATCAGCAAATTATACATTCCACAAAATGACACTCTGACAACATTAAACAAAGTGCATTTACAAGTTACTCAAGAAATTCTTGAGTTCTTGAAAGTCACTGAAGGTTTTTTGACAGACGTCATTAATTATAACTTTGAACGCAATATAGCCGAGACTCATGAAACATCCGCTCAGATTGTCCCTCAGTGACATTGTTAGTTACGGGGCAACGTTATAATAGTGGCTACAAACCTTTCAGTTGCTTTATTCTTTAACTTTACATTAAAGAAACTATTCATTTATTGCATGAAATATTTAATTTAATTATGAGTTATGTATCATGAACATTTATGCAACAGTACTTACAACATTTTTACACTGCACTGACTTTGATATTGTGCGAAATCTCGATTTGTCATGTTTTCGGATATTCAAATTTCTTTCTTTTTTTCTACTAGTACTTCCCGTTCTTATTTTTATATATTATTTAATATTAGCTATTTGGCAGTTTTTCATAACAATCAAACCAGGAAAGCAAGAAAAGTGAGTTTGTGAGCGAGTATTTCCTTCAAACTGATTTACATATTTCTGAGCATTGAAACTGCTTTGTTTAGCTCCTGTTGTTTAACCCCAAAACTGATCCTCGAGTTTCTCCACATTATTTCTGCTCACTGCTTCAGTTGTTAATGTGTAGGCTGAAAACAGGCTTCTGAATGTCTTTTGTCATGGACCATTAAAGTACTCGACCACTCCCCCCCCACTCTTCTCTTTTCCCTCTCCCTCCTTTACCATCTCTTTCTCTCCTTTCTTTGTCTGTTTCTTTCTTCTTTTCCCTTTTCTTTTTTCTTCTCTCCCCCTGTTGCTCTGCATCCATCTTTCCTCACTCTCCTCACGCTGACTTCAATTTCCTGCCTCCCTCCAACTTTGGTGTTTTCCCTGCCTTTCCTGCTGTTCTCCCTCCATCTGTCTTCCCCTGTCCTTAATACACCCACCTACTCTCTCTCTCTCTCTCTTTCTCTCGCTCTCTCAGGACGATCGACTACGGACGCCGCTGTTGAAGCTGAAGCTGGCGGTGTGCAGTGTGATGCCAGAGCAGATAGCCAGATACAACATGGACTGCATGGCTAAGGTTGCAAAGTAAGTCAATCAACTTTTTTCATTAAGAAACTAAGCAGGTGAAGTAAAACCGTTTGACGTAATTCTCCGTCTTCTGCCCCCGCCTTTCATCAGGTTTGACTTTTATGGCTGAATGAAGTTAAAATATTTTTACCAAACAACCAAAACTGACCCCCATCTAAAAAATTGCAGTCTGTTTGTTAATGTGTCTATGTGCGTTTATATATTACTGACTGTGTTTGTGTCCTGCAGGCAGCAGTCAGAAGATGGCGATAAGAATGGCTCAGAGGAGGAAGATGAGGAGAAGCCTGGGAAAAGGGTCATGGGTCCGCGGAAGAAGTTTGTCTGGGATGACAAGCTCAGGTAATGATCCAGGACTGTCCTGCTGCAATAGCTGGCTGGATGTTTGTGATTATACAGATTCGACTTCATATCCTGACATTCATTTTATTGGTACCCTGTCCCCTTTAGTGTTCATCTTTCCTGTTGCTCTCTGTCTAATCTAGTAAACAGAGCTTACACAGAAAAATGGAGAAAAATAACGCCTCAAAGGTTTTTAAAATAAGTGGAATAAGGGGAAAATGGCAGCCAGGTCATGAATATTCCTCAGCTGTTGGGAACACTCAGGATTGACAGCTGTCACTTCATCATACATAAATATCAAACCAGACCTATAAAAGAGCTCTGCACTGATTTAACATTGTTCTCCTATAATGATGCCAGGCTCACAATGCACAGTTTAAAAAAACAAGATCAAACTCAATGCAGCAGAACCAGAAATGTTTTTATTCCAGGCATTCTTTTTCCTTGTCAAAACCTGGTGCATACATTACCCACAATGCAACTCAACTGCAGTTTGATAAAAGATTCAGGTGTTGTGTGCTAATAGCAGCTAATGTAGCCTCATGCAGAGATGAGGAGCGACAGCAGAGGTCTGGTAAACTCACTTCTTCATAACTTCACACCTCCAGTTGTCAACGCTGACTCACGTGACATCACTTGAGGTAGTTTATCAGATTTGCCACAGCTCCCTCTGGAGCCACAGTAGACTATACAACTTCTTCTCACATGCAGTGGTACTCCAAAGCTCGACTGTGATGAAGGGTACTGTTAACAGGCCGGATGTTTATATCTGAATAAATGAGGAAACCCCAAAGAACTGCAGTGCTAATGAAATGAGAAAAACCTTGAGACTAACTCGTAGCTCCTTTCAATTGTAATTTATTTTAATAACATCTTCAACATTTTTTAGGAAAGGTTTTCTTTATCTCCTCTGATTCTCTCTCTCTCTGTCTCCTCAGTCTTTATGTGTCCAAAACCTGCAGCCTAATTTAGATTTTAATGTTGAACAATTTGTGCTGAATTGAATATTTGTGTTTGTGCAGGAACCTGCTGTGCATCTTGGTGCGAGTAAAGCTGAGCTGCTATGAGATGGAGAACCAGTGCTCTCTGTCTGTGGAGGACTACCTCAAGGCCTTCTTAGAGAATGAGGTCAAACCACTATGGCCCAAGGGCTGGATGCAGGCCAGGTCTGTGTGTGTGTCTGTGTCTGTGTCTGTGTGTGTGTGTGTGTGTGTGTCTGTGTCTGTATTTTTGTGCTTACATAATGGTTGAACAAATTCCTTCATGATAAGACAATTACTGAAAATTCTCCAGGCTGAGAGCAATGGAGTGAACTGCACATTTACATTATAGTCATAGAGTATTGTGTGTATGTATATATTGAAAGCTGTTTCAAACAGAGAGCAAAATAGCTTTCAACACAAAGCTAAGATAATGTTTTATATGACTAACGTTAGTAAGTTTACAGAGGTAACAGTGACGGGGTGTTTAAGAAGAAAACCATGCTGTGATAAAACACTGATAGTTAATCTTAACACTACATTCTCGTGTAGACGCGTTTGGCTCACAGTTATCATGTTTGGTCATTTATATTGTAGAAACGGTTCTCTGCTCTCAACTTGCAAAAATAAATTATTCCACAGTTTGAAGTTGGGAGCTCAGGCAAATTTTTTAAAACCCACCCTCAATATAATATGAGATTGGACATTAGTTCTTTAAAAACAACTTTCATTTCCATGCTGTATTATTTTGTGTGTGTCAATTAGGATCTCTGCATGTGTTTCTGTGTTAAGTATTCCCTAATATATCCCCGATATTTCAAATTTGTAATGCAGCATTAGTCATAATTGAAAAATGTTTGTTTCTAAGACATTATGACGCGTATAGTAGCATTAACAGTAACTTTAGCCCGACATTAATCCAGCTATTTATTAACACTCTTTCTTATCGCCATGTGTTTCCTCTGCTCAGGATTCTGCTGAAGGAGAGTCTTTCCGTTCACAGTCACCTCACTGGAAACCTGTGAGTATTTACTTCATCTCACGCCGCTCCTGTTTGCTCAGTAACACTAACTGCTCAGGGATTTCTCTGAGAATGGGCTTGAATACAAAATGTAAATAGAAAAGGCTGAATAATTGCTGGCATTTTTCCACACAGAGTCAAGAGGAGAATGATGCCTGGACCCAAGGCCAAAGCCAAGGTGAGTGACTGCTCAGATCCTGTACTTTTATATCTAAAAATACGCAACTGAGTTTTTTTTACACTTGATACGATGATAGTTTCATCTGAACCCATTTACCAAACGACATTGAAACAACAATATAATAGACTGTACTCACTGCTTCATGATGTGTCTTGGCTGCTAATACTGTATTTGCTCAGTTCTGAAAACAGAATTAGTATTTAGTATTGGTATTATTTATCTATTGTAGGGTTGATGAAACTGAAATGAATCTACAGTATGAGATGTAAATATTTTATTATTTCCATGCAGGAGGTTTGTTTTAATCTTCGTAACTCTTGTATCACGTTTTATATTGTATTATAAGTTTCTTGGCCAACATCAACAAATAAAAGCCAAGTTTTAAAAAAACTCATTGTGGGGGGTGAAATTACCTTAAAAGCTCACATGGTGAATTTAGTATTATGTACATTTCTACAACACCCGTTTTTAGCTGTTTTTTTTTTTAAAGTTTCTTTTTTTGCCATATTCACAATCGATGTTAAAATAACGTCAACAAAACCCAATAATTCCTGATGGTTTTTTCCCCACATTTAAACCTATAAAAGGACGGCTGTATGACTATGGCTGATCCAGGGAAGTGGAATGACTGATTCTTGTACTGATGGAATTAATGCTGCATAATTTTATTGACATAAAAGGTCAATATGGAGGAAATTAGAAGTTCTACCTCTGAGGGTAAATCTGAGAATCTACGGTATGTTTCGGGTTACTGACACTGACCGTGTGTCTTCTGTCCTTTAGGAGGGTCTTTGGATCCACAAACCACCTCTCACCATGACCTCCACCCAATCTCTGCCCACTTCCACATCCGCTCTGACCTCCAACCGCCAGACCGTCTCCTCCTCCTCTCCCTCGGAGCCCATCTGTCTGTCGGACTCTCTGGACGAGGACCTGACTGCTCCGTCTCTGGACTCCATCTCCCACGCTCTGGCCCTCCTCAGCAATGCATCCAAGGGCCTGGGCCCCTCAGACAGCCCCTTGTCGCCCCCACCTCTACAAATCCCCACCTCCTCTCCTCCTCCCGTTGCCCCTCACTACCCCTCGGCCTCTCAGCTCTCTGCCTCAGTTGCATCCACGACGCAGCAACATTCCCTGTCAAAGGTGGAAACTGCTCAGTTAGCGGCTGCGTCGGCTGGGAACTTGTCGACAACAACAACGCTGCCAACCTCCTCTTCTACCTCCTCTTCCTCGTCTCCTGTTGTCGCCTCCATGGCTCGTGTGCAGGCAGCGGGCCTGTCGCTGGCGTCCAGGACTGCAAATGGTCCCTACGGCCTGATCAAAGGATCTGGCACCATGGGCCAAACCCAGACTCAGAGACTAGTTACCATGGCATCACCCAATCACAGGCCAAGCTCGGTGATAGGCGTGAGTGGCAAGATGCATCCACACCCTTCCCCATCGCCTCCGAAGCAGCGGCCTCCTCCCACGGCTTCCCCTCTGCTGCCCCCCCATCAGAAGGGCTTTGTTAGCTTGGTGGGGATGCTGGGAACTATGGGAGCCCCTGAAGGACTGATCAAGAGCAGCGCCAAAGTTGGTGGCATCAGCACCAACGGCAGCTCGGTGAGCAGCAGCATTACACCTTCTTCCTCCCCTTCCTTACAGTCCCGCTCCAACTCCACCGCCCACCCTGGCCTGCAGTCCTTCTGCCCTCCCTCCCCCGTGGCCTCCTCGCCATCCCCCACCTCCCATACCTCACACTCCGCTCAAGTTAAATCCCACACACACCACCACCAGCCCAACTTCATCACCCCAATGCAGGCCACCCTCACCAAGTCCTCCCACAGCAGCAACTCCTCACCCATCATCAAGCTCACTCCGCGGCCCTCCTGCGCCCCACCCCGCCTCCTTCCTCCTCCTC